ACTGGTGAATACAATAAACTCTGATTATTAAACATTTGCTTGTGTTAAGGCAGACCTTCCCAAAGTGTGGGGCCCGCCCCCTAGGGGGGGCGCAGAGCCATTGCAGGGGGGGCGCGGTATGAAAAGGGGAAAAAAACAAAAACAAAAAAAAACAACGCTTGTGCACTGCTAGCATGTTAGTCCCCAACCCCGGGCCACAGACCGGTACTGGGCCGTGAGTCGTTTGGTACCAGGCCGCAAGAGTTGAGGCTCGAATGTGAAATTTATGGTTTTCAGGGTTTTTATCGTTAACTCGGTTTCCCTGGGTCTTTCCCGTGTGTTATGAAAGAATTGTAAAGATTTACACGTTACCATAGCGACCAGAGAGCATAAAGGGGCAGAGAGGAGGATGTTACTCAGTGTTACTGGGGCATTTTAGGAGGAGGCTGCTAATAAAGTTACACAATTACACAGTGAATTCGGGTTTATTATTATATTTACAAAATACCACCGTTTGTGTCTCGGTCGTATCATATTATATGGTTGTATTTATCGGCCACACCTTAAAGGCCGGTCCTTGAAAATATTGTCTGACATTAAACTGTCCGTGGTGCAAAGAAGGCTGGGGACCGCTGATCTAAAAGGTACTTTTGAGGCCACCATCATTTGCAGCTGTGGATCGTCTTCTTGCACAGACACGCTCTGTTCACCTGGTTTGTTCACGAATGGGCCGTGCATCCATTCTTTTGAAGTTCGGGGGCTTTTTGTGGTTGGGAAGTACCGCTTGAACTCTTTTGAAAGCAGAGATGTGTGGTCTCGCACAAGCTGGGAGAATTTTGCCTCCATCTCTTCCCAAGGCCCTGCTAATGCTTGAAACATGTCAAATATCCCTCTGTGCACTTGGCAACCCCACAATTCAAGTTTGGCTTTGAATGCAGCTACTTTGTCAACTTGAAGGGACGATTTGCAATCCTGTCACTGAAATGTGCTGCTGGTTAGGACTTGTTTTTCCTGAAAGAAACCTCAGCAGTAGCTCTTGTAACTCCAACTCTGGCCAACGATGGACAGGCAGCCATCCTTTAGCATCCTTTACCATTTGTGCCCAACATCCATCTCTGCATCCATCAAAGCTGCTCGAGCAGATATGAGTGTAGGGGTGCTTGCTTTGATGTAGTTCATGACTTTAACTACGTTATTCAATATGCCAACATTTCCCTGTGAATGACACACAGACTCACATGAATAATGGATTAACAAAACAAGATTCTGGTGAATCGTTGCATATTCATACAACAAAGTGATTTATCCAAGATAATCTGAACGTGCTGGTGAGTGTGAACTGGTGTAACTGGACCGCTTTATACATCAGACATCGTCCTGACGATCCATCATCATCAAGATTTCTTTGCTAATGCACTAAAGGAGCTATAAAAACTCCTACAGACACTGATCACACAGATTCAAACAATTCATGTACAACAAACATGAAAATGTGACACGAGTTCTGTAGGATCAAAGGCAAAGCATCATCGATCCTGTTTGTAGTGACAATAGACAGTTTTAGTGTTACACTGGTGGGTAGCACTGTTGCCTCACAGCAAGAAGGTCCTGGGTCCACAGCCGCCATGTAAGTGGCGTCAATGCAAACATCCTCTGTTGGTCTCACCCATTTTCCCAGTGCAGCATTCATCAGTGTCCAGATTGGAAAAAGTAAGCAACATCTAAAACGCAGTAACTCGTTTACACTTCTTTAACCATCTTGAGCAGTAAAGTCTCAGTTGGAGCCACTTTGGTACTTTGTAAACGTTGTTATTTTTTCATCACCTAGAATGATGTCTGGAATGAAGGAATCAGAAAATGAAGCGTTTTCATCACGCGTGATGCCGCGGATCAGTCTGGACAGAACAGTCGTGATGAGGGTAATGAATCCTGTCAGCAGTTAGAGTGAAGAGCAGCACGTTGCTGTGGACGGTCCCAGGATTAAACTGAACAAATGGCTTCAGTAATAATTAAGCCCCATTCAGACAGATTAGTTGCTCTACAGCAGGAAGGGTGATTCTAATAATTTAAAATATGAAGAGACAAGACAAAATATGTGGGTGTCATTGCTCTGATAGGAACTAATGAGATACTGACGTGGGAAACAAGCCTACACAACGACCATTGTGCCACCAAACAAATTACTGAGTCAGGGCTCCAGACTAACCTTCTGCCACAGTTTTTAAAAAAGGTGCACCACTAACCCTAACCCATTCCCCACCAGTTAGGCACACCCAAATTTTTCAACTGCATTGCTTAACACCGCAGTTTTACATGTGCACTTTTTTGTGGGGGAAATTGCCGTCCACACAGACAATATTAACTTGTAAATGATTCACTAACAATGTTGTCAACACAAAGTTCTTTATTTAGAGCACATTTCTAAGGAAAGATAAGTTACTGAAAAAGTGCTTGTGCTTAAAGTGCGTTGGCACTCTTTGGCAGTATTGTAGACAATGTTAAACTTAATCATCACATCGGCTCCTCTGACGACCTGCTTGCCGCTGAAAGGCAGTGTTAGAGGGGACACTTGGGCAGTTATCGCAGCATATAATGTGTTTCCTGGATACACTGTGCTTTTTCAGCATTCAGAGGTTGATGGCTCCGTGTCAGAGCTGGCTATGAATTTCAGACAGTTCAGGCCTTAACTTAACAAAAAATGTATCAATAGTTCTTTTCATCTTTTCTTATTACCCACAGCTACATCCCCTCTGTCAGGCCTAGGCTGCTCATGAGGGCTGGGCATCATCACTGATTTCTATAATCCATTCTGATTCACAAGGTCCTGATTCGATTCAGTTTTGCCTGAGACAGTCAGAAATATTATAATTCTGATCATTTATCAGTACTGATACATGTGGGACTTTGACAGAGGTGTGAGCATGACAGTAGAGGCCTTTGTGTCAAAGTAACTGAGGATAAAACAGAAAAACATGAAGGAGATTTTCCTGGCCTGGATTTTTATAGCAGAGAAACTTAAAAATATTCTGCAATATTGCATAATTTGAAAAAGTTAAAATTTCTTCAGTAGTGAACAGCAGAAATAAGTCTTTCTTGTCTGAGGTCATTTAAGTAACAAAGACAGCAGCCGGCAGCGCTGTAAGCAACGGTAGACTGATGGGTAATAAGCGAATGCAAAAAACAGAGATTTGAGACGGGAAGCTGTTCTTGACGTGCAGAGAGAGACAGCTGTGCATGAAGTGCATTTTATCGTGGTGGAAGTAAAACAGCAAAAGTCAGAGTGAATTAATGGCGACATTTATCAAATGTGAATTGTAGCACGATATATACATAAATGTGTGTGTGTACAGGTACGAACCCTGTGAGTAGACTGACTTAGCCTTAGCTAAGGAAGTAGAGCAGGTCATCTGCCTGATCTAGATCCTTCTGCCCCAGTCTGCATGCCAATGTATGAACTGAATCCTGAGGTCCTCCTGATGCACTGTTAGATAGAAAACAAGTGCTCGGGGCTACGACACCTGTGAAGGGCTTTGAGTGCTCCACCAGCAAAGAACCAGTCAGTTTAAAATGGAAACAATTGTGAATTCAATAAGTTAAATCGAGGTGACGCAGATACTAAAAATCTCAGAGGAGTTCGATTCACAGTGACTACAACCTCAAGGTCAAAGGTCAACTTTTTGGAAAATCCTATGAATGCTTTAATTCAAGGACAAAGTGGTGCAGCATTTAGGTGTGTCTGCCAGGAGGGAGCACTGCTGTCATTATTTTGAGCTTTTGCTGCAAACTTTAAAAAGTATATTAACCTCCTGGGACCTGCGTCCACATGTGTGGACATCACATTTTGGGTCATTTAGACCAAAATACTGTCCACGAGGACATTATGCTGCCACTGTTCCATCAAAATTTAAAACGAATAATGTGTGGCTCTCATTGTTCTTAGGAACAAAAATCGGGTAAAAACAAATCTGGTGACTCTTTGTTTTTAGATTCATCGGGTCCAATATTCAAACATCAAAGAGAAATTAAAAATGCTGCTGTGGGAGAGTTCGGGTCTTTGGAGGTTAAAGATTTACTAAATACAATTTGAACCCCAACGAAACAAGAGCATCCAGGGAAAGCTGTGGATGCTCTGAAAGATGATCATAAAACATCCAACCCCTGAGTCTTTATATAGAGGGGTACTTTGTAATATAGCTAACATTTCTGTTCAAATGCGCGCGTGACAGATGCTAATAGATAGTAAGAACCTGACTGGTCGTCGCAAAAATTCAGTTGCAGGTTTTGAGTTGGACACTGTTCATAAATCCGTCAGGTTGATGCTGCAGCCTTTTGAATAATTTAAGGACCTGAGTTCCACAAAACAGCGGTTGTTTCTGGTAAATGTCAAACTTGTTGGACCCTCCGTCGGCTTGCTGCTGAACTGCTGCTCTTTCAGTTCATTCCTAGGCTCAGATTGGCTCATTGAGTCAGATACTCTGTTCGGCAGTTCATCGTTTTTGATATTCATCTTGGTCCACGCTAAGGCTGTCCCCATAAATACCCCCAAATATCACCTTTATTTGGATACATAGTTGACAGCTAACTCACACTTGTAATAAAATTACTCCTTTTCAGCTCCTCTTCACACACTCGTGTTTGATGTCTGGTTTTAAATTTACCTGGCAGATGAATGGTCTGTTTTTGTCCTGCTGGGAGTAAAATTATTTATGAAGAATAAAGCTGAACGCTTGTTGTCGGAGACGTTCAAGGACTCACGCTCCCTCAGATAAAGCACGTTGTTTATTTCAGTCGCACTTATTTAAACGGACACTCAGCCCTCACCTCCACAGACACATCAAACCACAACACCTGAGCATCTTCATCTTCTTTACTGCATCTTCTTTGTCAACTTACAACCGGATTGTTCTCTGAATATGTTGGAAGTTCGGTCGAGGACACTGATGTGTTTTAGTGTTTGTGTCCTCTACTTCATCTTCTCTGTCCCCAAATGTTTGTCTTTCTTTGTCCATTATGTCACGTAGGTCTCCGTAAAGGTCGCTTTTGGATCACACCTGACCCTTACCACAATGATGACAATATCCAGATTGGACGGGAGGTGAAGATCAGCTGCCAGGTAGAGGCCACGCCCCCAGAGGAACTGCAGTTCAGCTGGCTGAAGAACGGGCGGCCTCTGAGGAGTTCAGAGCGGATGGTCATCACCCACACTGACACAGACGTCTCGCCGGGAACCACCAACCTCGACATCATCGACCTCAAGTTCACCGACTTTGGCACCTACACCTGTGTGGCATCACTAAGGAACGGAGGAACCCCAGAGATTAGCATTGATGTCAACATTTCATCCACCACAGGTGAGGCCAGCTCTTATGGTAGGTGGAGTTAACAAACAGCTGCCAGCTCAAATATGCACGCTAATGAAATACACACTAATCACAGCTGCCCCGGTGACTTGGCAGCCCCTTCGAAGCAGCTGTTGTGATCAACGCTAGAGCCTGATTGGACATGGGGCTGCGGCACTGAAGGCCAAGCAGTCGGTCACCCCTGAACCACGCTCAGCCAGCTCGTCAGCTCTGCATAGGGCAGCTCCTCACAGCTGCTGATGACAGTCATTCAGATAAAGCGTGAACTTTGCCGCACACAGAACTGAGGCTGATTATAAAACCGCCCACTCCTCATATCGGGTTTTCAGAAATAATATCTTGCAGCTCTGAATTGTTTTCTTTGAACCTTGTCATCTGTGACAGCTGTTTGACGCATCCTGCATCATTTCAAAAACATACAGTGGGAATGAGCTCATGTACACTTGTCACTGGCTGGTTTCCTCTGTGCCACCAAGATTAAAATAATAGTTGTTTAGTCCTTGAACTGTGGTACAAAGCTCTGAGCTTCTGCAGATACAGAGAGGAGCAGACCTTCAGACAGATGTCAGGCAGATGAACGACTGCCGGCGGCTTCCTGTTTGTTCATGACCTTGGCAGAGTGAAAGAAACAGTCAGAGAGCCCGAGAGGAGGCGGGGGTAATCGAACTCCCGCTTTAGTCCAAACTGTGCGTGACGCCTGCTGACGCATGAAGGTCACGCTTGGGTCACTCCTGAATCCCCATAAGGAAAATAAATGCTAGAACAGTCCAGCAGCTCTCTCAGTGTCACTCTAGACGAAGGACGAGTTCTCCATCAGACACGAAACAAAAACATTTTGTGTGTGGAGGCAAAGTTAACCTCACAGATGAGTCAGAAAGCAAAGGCATTATACCCACTGCAGCCTTATGAGGGGCGCCACAGCAGGACGCTCCACGTCACCCTCCTGGTGCGCCTCCTCCAGGCAAAAGTCTGGATTAATGCTCCCTAATTAGAAAGCACTGGACTTTATTCCTCTTCCTTCAACAACCACGCGCGGTATGAAAAGAAAAGAAAACACTTGGACACTGCTGGCATCACGGACAGGTTTTTGACGGGGCGCCCACACCAACGCAAAGCAGGAGACGAAGCATCGCTGAATCGTCCACACGTGAACGCAAAAAAGGAGTTTTTAAAAACTTGTTTTCGGTGATTCGAAACGCCGTTTGCGTGGACGAAAGGTCCAAACGCATAGAAACGTTTTTAAAATACCCGTGTAGGTGCGGACGTAGCGTAAAAGAGTTAGTAGCTCATTTATTTGATTCATTTATTTGTAATTTAATGCAGTTTACATTTTTAGTTTAAGTGTTTACTAAATGTTTGAAGGTTGAAACAAACTGCAGTGGAGTTTGAAACAAATATGTGCGTGTGTGTTTGGAGGATGTGTTTGTGTGCGGGGGTTTCTCATGCACAGCTGTAGACCTGCTCCTCTTTTATTCTGAAGGGTCCAAACCTTGGCAGTTAGCAGATATCCTGTCTCTGTCCCTGTAGTTCCTCCAGAGCTCACCGTCCCCAGGGGGCGCTCTCACCTCATCGCTCAGGAAGGCGACACCGTAGACCTGCAGTGCCTGGTCTCTGGAAAACCCAAACCCATCATCCTGTGGTCTCGGGTGGAGGAGAGCGGGGTGGCGGCGGCAACGGCAACGGCACTGATGCCAGACGGCTCCGTTCAGACGGAGAGCTACGACGGCATCCTGAGGATCAGCAACGTGACCAGAGAGATGAGCGGGACGTACCGCTGCCAGACGAGCCAGTACAACGGCTTCAACGTCAAGCCCAGAGAGGCCTTGATACAGTTGGTGGTGCAGTGTGGGTAACACGCATACGTCACTCAGCCACACACAGCTCCACGATGTCACAACATTCAGAAACATAGTTTTATTCATCAGTGAGCTGTAGCCAGGAAGCAGAAGGCTGAGTCAGTTTCTCAGGCATCAGGATTCCCAGACAAAGTTCTTGAAGTTCTTTCAAGTGTCTCGGAGAACGTGGAGGCAGATCTGGGAACAAACCATCATTGCTCCTGTAACAGGTGTTCATTCAAACTCAACGTGGCTCCTCTCACTGACGTCCACTCAAAGAGTTGAGTTTACAGGCTGGCTACGTTCACTCTGCAGGTCGTGATGCTCAATTCTGATGTTTTTGTCTGCTTCTTCACACTACAAATAAAATGCGACAGCAAACGCGCTCTAGTGTGAACGCTCAACACGCCCGCATGCGCAAAAGAAGACGTCACACACAGCGTGCTCTGTTTAGACCCAGAGCAACAGTATGTTTGACTGATGGCCTTAATATAAAGAGTTCGGACTTTACGTTTCCCAATTTTTTCTTTAAGTTATTTTGTTATTTACATAATAATGTAGATAACCTAATAATGATCCTTATTGCTGTTTTAGAGCAGCGGTGCTTCAAAGGATAGCTGCAGATTTCTGTCAGAATCTGCAGATTATACAGAACAAATAAAATGTTTACGTTGTCTTCCCAAGAGTTTCGCTGGATGTCCAGGAAGCGTTCACCATGTCTTCTCCGGCGCTGATAATTGGCGCCTGTCTTGTGTCGGTGACGTAAAAGACGGATTTAATGCGACGTGACCATCAAGCAGCAGTCGCTTTCTGAAACATCAGATATGTGTCGGATTCAGTACCACACACGAAAGTGACCCAGAGCGGATTTGAAAATATCAGATTTGTGCCGTTCACACTGTCACACCATGATCGGATAGATGGTCGCACAGGGTCAAAAAATCGGATTTGATGCGCTTTCGCCTGCAGTGTGAACGTAGCCTATGAAGTGTCCAAAAATCTGTGAGGGGCACGTTTGCTGAGCCTGGTAGATGAGTGAGGCATTGACACCACAGCACTTCCTGCAACAATAACTGTTATTAACAGGAACTCTACTTGATTTTGTTGCTGTAATGAGCTGAGGTTCAGCTCCTGCAGGACTCGTGTACGTGATTATTTATCAGAGGGGAAGTCTGTTATGCATAATTACTGCACGTTTTCCCGTCAAAGATCTCCTTGCAGCTCACACCGTAACATCTGCTGCTCATGTAAACAGCCACCAACAACTGCTGCTTTAGCCCCTAAAATACCCAGAATGCATTGTGGAGCTGACTCCTAAGCCCTGCAGAAGAAATGTCACACTGATCAAACCGATCACCAGAGCAGACAGCTCCAGATCAGTTTGATACAAACAGCAGATCAGTTGAAAGACACACCGACAGCTGCAGCTCAGCAGGTACGCGTTTCACCGCCTCGGCCGCGGGCGCTCGGGCCGATGCTGACGGACACATGCTGCCTGCCTGTCTCGGACAGAACTGAATCCACCACCTTCCAGTCACGCTCTGTCTAACCTGCAGGCTGCTGCGTCGCACAAAATAGCATCACAGGATGTGACGGGAAGACTTGCAGCTCCTGGCTTCATGCCGCACTAAAAGGCTGTCAGAGCAAATCTCCTCTGCAGCTCGGATGGGCCTCGTTCTGCAGAGCGTCGACGCAGACACTCACAGGAAATCAGCAGCCCGGGCTTTGAGTTTAAGGAACAAAACCTGACTCATAGTTTGAAAAACAAATCTTCTTAGTGATGCTTTATTTTTCCTTTTCGTTTCCTGACAAGTCAACATTATTAAATGCCGAGCAGATTTCATCCAAATCTGACATTTCAACAATGTTATCAACAAACCAATCTAGTATCTGAAGACTAAGAAGAAGGTGGCTGAAAATGTAGATTGAAAATAAAACCAATTATTAGACATGTTTTAATAGATTAGGAAAACTCTGTGACCCCACCTACACAGTACGGTAAAGACTCTACAGTAAGACAGTCAGACCTCCCCGTATGAGCAAACGCTTGGTGACAGTGGGACAGAAAAACTCCCTTTGAATAGGAAGAAACCTCCGGCAGAACCAAGCTCAGGGAGGGGCGGGGCCATCTGCCGGGTTAAGGGTTAAGGAGAGGGAGACAGGACGGAAGAGAGACAGAGAGGTCTATTAGCACATAGTGATTGAATAAGAACCAGTGCATCATGGGAATTCCCCAGCAGCCTAAGGGAGGATTCAGGGTCACCTGGTCCAGCCCTAACTATATGCTTTAGCAAAAAGGAAAGTTTGAAGCCTAATCTTGAAAGTAGAGATAGTGTCTGTCTCCTGAATCCAAACTGGAAGCTGGTTCCACAGAAGAGGGGCCTGAAAACTGAAGGCTCTGCCTCCCATTCTACTTTTAAATACTCTACAACAAGTAAAATAATGATTTAATGTTAGACATTTTCAAACATTTCATATTAAAAATGAATAGAAGAATAGAATCACATAAAAACATGGCACAATGTTTTTTCCATTTTCACTGAAATCAGACTTTTGTAGACAGAAGGTGTTTAATGGTGTTCAGCCACAGTAAGCAGATTACAGTCAGGTTATAGGTGGATTACTCTGAAATAAGTGAAACAACGTTTAAGTCACAGCGACACAGATTTAACTTCTAAGTGTACGTGAATAGAAAATCTCCCTGAGCCTCGAGAAACCTGCTGACAGACAAATAAACACGAGTAAATCTGTGAGCGAGAAGCGAGCTGTACAGCACAAAACCTTGTGAGCAACATTTCAAATGAGCTGTTTCAGGGTTCACTTTGACAATAATCCCTCACAGGCTCTTACTGGATGTGACTGGATTACAGAGGAGACAGTGATGTGTGGTGGTGACAAGTTAAACAAGTTAACCTTTTTTGATTATTATTATTATTAAAGTGCAATTCGAAAATGTTTTTTTTGAAATGAAGACTTAAAAAGCATTTTTAAAATCAGTTTATTAAATTGGAATTCAAAAATGAATTCACAAATGCAGATTTTATTCTACAATTCATTAATTAAGCACAGAACTGTTTGGCTCTTGTGGTCCTCCGTACTGTAGCAGCTGTTTAAAATCACACCAAGGGACGGGGGGGGCTTGGACGTTTGACCCATTGTTCTCTGGAAAATATTACAGCCTAGGAGAGCAGCTGCTTTATTAAAACCAAATGATTACAAACTTCAAATCAATTAAAATACCTCTGAGGCACAGGAATGTGCAGGTCTTAACTCAAAGCTGGTGCTTTCTCAGGGTTAATGGCAACATGTGCAGTAAGTTGCCTTCAGGTGAATCATGGTCAGTGCATCTCTCTGAGTGCATCCTAACAGCAGCTTTCATTTGCCAAAGACAGTATGATGTGGTAAACATGGCCATCGCTGCATTGTAGCATGAAAAGCGTGACACAGATGCCCCGAACTGCTGAGCGGATGTTGAAACAACAGCCACTCTCCCACCTACAGTGTCATTAAAGAAGGTTGCTGCATGAAACAATGTGAAACAAATTCCACTAAAATCCCAGAATCTCGTTTTCAACATTTTTATTATCTTTAATAAAATCCAGCATTGCAGTGATGCGCACATCATTGCATTCTGTTGAGATTACCTCGTACATTAAATTGTTCTTCGTTTGGCCCTGAAGTGTCTCGTGGAGCAGCTGCTCAAACTGCAGGAAAGAGCAGAGTTCATCAACAAGCTGGGACTGGGTCCAGCAGTGTATTATGGGAAAGCAGGGTTAGAAGTCTTCTTTGACCAATCAGAGGGCTTGGCTGAAGGTCGGCATCAGGCAGAAGCGTCTGGTTGACCTTTACATGTTCCTGCTGTGTTTCCCTCTCAGTAGAAGGTCGTGGAAACATGTCCAGGGGCTCGAAACGAACCTCAGACCTGTGTGTGTGTCTGTGTGTGTCTGTGTGTGTGTGTCTCATGTACACAGGATGAGTTGTGCACCATCTCAGGAAATCACCTGTTTGAGTGAAACCTGGATCCTTGAGTGGAGCAGACTAATGGCTCGTGTGGTTCATGGTTCAGGTGCCAGAGTAACGTTTACTCTGCTCAAAGCCTTTTCATACGTTACAAGCTACATTCACACTATTGCTTTATTGAACTTAGCAGAACAGTCGACGTGTCACCATAATTTGGGGCTCAACATCTTTCCCAGAAACAGCAGCTCAGTGAAGACCTTACAGGACTTTGAGTTTGTGGTTGCAGGATCCTCGGGCTCTCGGGGAGATATTCTCTGGGCTTACGAGGCAAAAACCTTTTTGAACCTTGTACATCTGGCGTAAACACAGCACTTCAGAACAAAAGGGTGATTTGCTGAAAGTGTCCTACTGTGTCAGGACCTGGACACGTTGCTGTAGTTGATGCAACCATAAATCCTGTAGAAGTTCAGTGTGGGTGCAGCAGGACGAAGATCCAAACTACACCAGAGTCCACCTCTGATTGGCTCCAAGTCTGGACTTACATCCGATTGAGATGAATTCAAACCCTCAGTGCAGGTACAATAAGAAATGAGGAAGTGGCACCGTGGCTTCAGGGCTTTTTCCAGTGAAACCACGGTGGCGCTCGCTTCAGTTTTACTGAATAACAAAGTCCATTTGTAAATCTCGGCCCTGTTAGAAGCCAAAAGGACCAGGAAATGCTTACCTACCTTCCCATTTACAGTACCATTGCAAACCCTATGAGCCGGGTCACTCCTCACTCATTACGCCACGTTTGAGTGCTTTTGTGCCACCTCCACCCGTCCTGACCACGAAAGTCAACTTGTTTTTCTTCTCTGAGACATTCGTGAGCTTTTACATCTTATTGGTTCTCTCCATCCTTCAGATGATGTTCCTGTCTGCAGAAAGGTCGCAGGACGGCTGCTGCAGCTGCTCTTTTCTTCTCTTTATTCCTTGTTTGGCATCAGGATGTTAATCTGTGAAGTGACACCTGCAATTCGGCTCAAAGCTTCTGTTAAAGTTCTGCTGGAGGGATTTAAAAACACAGTGCACCTCAGCGGAGCACCGCAGCACCAACGCACATCTGAGTTTAAATCCTATAAATATGTAAGAGGCTATTTTCAAGCCATTCTGGCTTCATTAACAGTGAAGTGAACACAGCCCTGAGTAAGATCTGGATTTGTATGATTGAAGTGCAGGAAGTGATGCCATTTCTCCATTATTTTATTTATATATAATATTTATGCTGGTTTTCATTGTGTGAAGTTTGTAATATTGGTTAAAAACAAAAATGAGACCAAGTGAAGAAAGCCTGAAATCAGTAGTGTCAGAAACCTCCCTGGCTCTGTGTTGCAGTCCCTCCCGCCGTAGAGCCCGAGCACACGGAGATCCGTCAGGCCCTCGGCCGGGCGTTCAGCCTTACCTGCCGTCTGCTGCGAGCTCATCCGGCTCGCCTGCTGCGATATGAGTGGAAGCTGGGCACCCGCCTCCTGACTGTCGGACAGTTCAGTGACCAGAGAGACGACACGAACTACCACGTCAGAGCTTTGAACAGGGAGGGCTATGGCGAGTACACCTGTGACATCACCAACGAGGCCGGGGCAGGACGTTGCACGTTCCTGGTCACAGGTGAGCTTTATTATTTTTTGAGTTATTGCACTTTAGTCACTTTATATTTAACATGACCTGAGTCATCGTAGATTTTCCTGAATTGCTTGACTTGTTTAAAAAGTGAAGACATTTGACTAGAACTTGGTTCTCGGTGAGGTTTTCAGGGGACTTGGTACCTGTAGGTTTTGCTTATAATAACCAGTCCGCTGTAACTGTATGCCAGGCGTTTATTAGCAGCCAACATGAACGTCCGTACACTCGTAACAGGAAGTACACATAACATCTAAAGAGAACCACAGCGACACCTGCTGGAACTCTCCGTAACGGCAGCAACAGGAGGCAGTATGGACAAACATAACATTGCTGTTATCTACAGTACCTAATCTGAACATGTTGGCTTAGATAATGTGACCTGATCATATCTGGGACACGTCCCTGTTGATTATTGACCAATGGATGATTTAAGGCTGACTTTGTACTCGTCTGGAATGAGTTCAGACCTGACTTTTACGCGTCTTAATTTTCCAACGAGCTGCTGTCACTGACGACACGCTGCCTGTAGGAGTGCTGCAGTTCCCTACTCTACATGACCTCATTGTCAGCTTAATAAGAAAGGTGTAGCTGCCTTCATGACAGCATTGAAAATATTACTATAGGGATTTCTAAACAGTTTTATGTACCATAGTGTAATACAGCCCAAGGTTATTAGTCATAAGTGGTTTAAGAAGCCTTATGTCGGACACTTGATGTGAGCCTGACACCTCCTGCTGCTCTGTAAGATCAGTTGGCCCACAGTCTGACAGCTCAGGAGGCAGAGCAGGTCAGCAGGTCAGCTGCTGATTGGAAGGTTGGTGGTTTGATCCCTGGCTCCCCCAGTTTGCATGCCAAATATCCATGATACTAACCCGACTTGCTCTCCACATCCATCGGAGTGGATGAATGATAGTTAGAAAAGCACTCAGTGCTTGTGTGAATGGGTGTGTATGGGGTTAATGCGCTTTGAGTACTCCAGGAGAGCTATATAAGAACTGTACTAGCATGCACTGAAACCAGTGAACCACTGAAACCAGTGAACCTATATACACCATTGTCACAGTAATCATAGGGGCACTTGATTGCAAGATTAACTAGTTAGCTGGTTAAATAAGGCATAGCAGGGTCCTGAGTGGAAACAAGTTCTCCATAACTGAGGCTCTGCCAGATGCTCACAGCTCCGGCCACCAGGCTGACGTGAGATACCAGAGAAGCTGAGGTCTGTTCTGAAAAGATCCATCCCATCCACGGTGCGCGCTCAGCTACAGGAGAATAACAGCAGCGAGTGTATTCCCATCCAGAGCTGAAATTGAGCAATTCTGGAAGAACATCTGAGAGAGAGAGGTGTCACATGACACTAACGGTGACTGGTGGACTAAAGGATGAGCCGGTCGCCATCACCAAAGCAGACAAGCGCAGAGCTGGACAGCAGCAGGACCTGACACGCTGAAGAAGCTAACAGCACTACATGTAGCACAAAGAAAGGGTCTGCTGACAGCGGGTACTCAGTCATGAAGGATCCTTTAGATTACTAATGTGTACACACACACATATATATATATATATGTACACATGTGTGTGTGTGGAATGCTTAACTTAATAATTTTAGCAGTGTTTGTATCCCGAGCTTCAGATGTTTCAGTTTTTTTGTTGTTATGTTGTTATGAGGATTTTATCTTAACGTGAGGAAACGAATAAAATCATAATTTCATGTAACTGAACAAGCATGGGGAGAGAAGGCAACATTTAATATGTTTAAAATGTTTTTTTAAACCTTTTTTAAACCTTTTGGGGTTTGAATCATGGTAACTCAGCTCGTTACGTTTTCAACAAATACGTATCAACTTTTGTGGAAAATAAAAGAGAAGGCGTCGGACGAGTAATCCATCTCTTTAATTACACAGGTCTGGTTTTGTCTCACGTGAATTTGGAGTTGTTGTTGACTTCCAAGCTGAACCGACTCTGCGGGTTTCAGTCTCTGAGTCCACTTGTGTCTGCGTCTTCTCTGAAAGCTCCCCTGCAGAGGCACCCTGTCAGCGCCCAGAGACTTCCTGTAAAACCCGCCGCTGTGTTAAGCCTCTTATCAGGGCCGACCGCTGAGCAGCAGCGCGTTTTGCAGGCAGCAGCAGAAAGTGTTTAAAGAGTGGAGTTGTAAGCTCAGGATATAAAGATGATAGAAAATGGTGGTGATTATGCCAGACTTGTCATTTGCTGAGGTGAAGTTTGCGTTGTTAATCAGGTGTGAACACACTGGTGGCATTTTAAACCTTGCTCATCCTGCAGCGACCAATGAGACAGCGTAAAGCTTCAGAATAAAAGTGACAGAAGCAGACATGAAACTGTGAGACAAAGTGCCAACATGACGACTCGCCAGACGGTCTGACTGCTCCTCCCACCGTCAGACAGATGAAACAAACAGAATTTTAATAGGATGATTCATTTCTGTCTGTTGAAGTCACAACAGCAAAAGTCATTTTGTGTGTTTTTAAAGCCCTGATTTCTGCTGAAGTCTAACATAAATAATCTTGTTGTCACACAAGCAGAACACACACCATTGGTTTAAAACAGTCACGTAAAACACAAGAAAACATGAGACGTGAGAACACCAACACAGTGCTGTGCTGCTTCCTGTTGCATTTACTGTTAGTCTAATGGCATAAGGTCACAGAAGAGGGGCCTGAAAACTGAAGGCGCTGCCTCCCATTCTACTTTAAATACTCTAGGAACAACAGCAGGAGTGAAGTGCTCTAATGGGTGCATACAGGACTGTAAGGCCATCAAGGTTAGATGAGGCCTGATTATTCAGGACCTTGAAAAGAGATCATGGATGCCAACGGTCAAACCAAACAAGTCAAAAGCTGTGGCTACCAAACAAATGAGACTGCAGCCACTGTCCCTGGATCAACCGTCAAGTAAGGCAAGGAGCTGCTGATCATTTCAGTTGTGCAGGGAGGGTCTAGCATGCACTGTGCACGTGCACAGAGATTAGTTAAATGCCCTCAGCCAACTGCTTCAAGTCCCCGTAGTAACACTACTGATCAGCTGTTTGGAGTAAAATAGACTCAGTGGCAGAATTAGCAACAGTATCACATAGAAAGAAATCATGTTGCTGTTAGCATTATATATTTATGAAAATGTAACTATACTGCCATCAGCTAATCCATCTTTGTTTATTGATACTTATGTTGATAAAAGCAGGTTCATACACACAAACATACAGAGATGCCATTGTTACAATGTGGTCATGTGTATCACTGACACAGCCAAGTCTGCTTAATATTTTTGAGTCCTGTGAAAGCAACCTGCAAGTTGCTGAGAAAAGCAAGAGTTTTGCTAAACTGGCCAACAGCCTTGTTTTGGTTGGTAGTTCCACCATGCCAAGCATCACCACACAAACACACAACAGCGAGTAATCTGCAGCCAAAGATATAAAAACGACCCATCGTAACACCAAGTGTCACACACTGAAAAACACGGTGACGACATTGTTTTCTATTCATGAGTGAAAAAGACATCCTGGACCTGTTTCCAGCCCTGTGTGACCTCTGACCCAACTGCCTCCTCAGGAAAAGCCAACCCTCCAGAGTTTTACTACGACACCTACAGCGCTCTGTGGCAGAGCAGGCCGCGAGTCTACGGCTTCAAGCTGCAGTGGACTCAGATGGAGCCGAACGCTGTGGATCGAATCCTGGCCTACAGACTCGGCATAAGGCAGGTCAGTGCAGCAGGTTTGTTATTTGAATGCAGCAATCAGTCGTCCCCACAAATGTCTTCATTTGCATTTTGTTTGTCCGAACTCAGGGGAGGTTTTCCAGAGTTTATAAGGGTCTTTGAAATGTCTAAAATCCATCTATATGCACGTTAGACTTTACAGTTATGGATTATGAGACTTGCTTATAATCCATAACTGTGAAGTGAGTTATGAAGTTAGAAATATTTAATTGAAAAAGTCTGTTGTAACCACTGAGGACTGATTTGCTGACTTCCCCCAGGCTGTATTTACAAAGAGCACGGTGACCACATGTGAGGTGGGAGGAGATGTTTCAATCGGACACTAATTTACTGAAAAAGCCTTTTGCCTGTTTTTTGCACTTGATTCTGAAATGAACTGAGTGCACCGCAGCTTTTTAAACCACCCCTGAAACTAGCCATGCATACGAGGGGTGTTAGCATAGTTAGTAGACAGACTCTAACTATTCTAATAGCTGTGCTTCGAAGCAGCTTTGTGATTAAAGGAAAACAACCAGTGTGAAATTATAGCTTGCAAAGAAAAACATGCTTAAATTAGGAACTTTAAGTTGTCATGAGAAATAAGAAAACTACAACTCCACAAACTCGTGTCTGCCTTTGTGTTACTGTTCTAGATTCATGTACGTTGTTCCCAATCCCACTCTGGAATAACAACATTAACTTCCACAATGTCCGATGTCGTGGTGTCAGGATCATCTTCATATACTGTCTTATGTGTTTGATACAAGTCAAATATTAAGCACCTTCAGTGCGCCAGTAAAATAGAAAAGCACTGTATGAGAACCAGTTTACCATGTTACCAAAAATAAATAAATATGGTGATGTACTAGACAAGACAAGACGCTTCACCCGTTGCCTACTGGTGGTGGTCAGAGGGCCTGGTGGCGCCAGTGTCCGGCAGCCTCGCCTGTGTCAGTGCGCCCCAGGGTGGCTGTGGCTACAATGTAGCTGCCATCACCAGTGTGTGAATGGGTGTGAATGTGTGTAAAGCACTTTGGGGTCCTTAGGGACTAGTAAAGGCGCTATACAAATACAGGCCATTTACCATTTACTAGTTAGCTTTGCAAACAGGTGGTGTAGCAGCTAGCACTGACACCTTGCAGCCAGAGTCCTGGGTTTGAACCTGCCTTTGGCTTCTCTGTGTGGAGTTTGCATGTTACCCCATATGGGTTCTCCTCAAGCTACTCCAGCTTCTTCCCATAGATCAAAGACGCGCGTGCTAGGTTCCGCATTGGCTGCAGGATGAATATGGATGCAAGCGTATATGTCCTCTGTGTTAGTCCTTTGGTGGACCGGCAACCTCTCTCCCAGCCTCTTGTGGGCAAGACTCCAGCCCTCTGCGATCCCAGTTAAAATGGCATTAAGAAAATGGATGGACTGATAGTCACGTTAACTGATAGATGTCAACTAAAAAGTTGTTGTTTCTATACCTCGTTGTTCCTGCATGTGTTCTCTTGGTGTTCTTGCTCCATTAAGAACATCACAAAGTGCCATGCATGTAAGAAACTCCGTCCCGGGTCATCCGTGGATCGGGTTTCCTCCGAGGCGTGGGCACCTATCAGCAGAGATTGTCCATAACCTATAGAACTCAAAGGAATATTCTCAAGTAACAGTCAAATATGCCATTCAGCGTGTTAGTTACAGTGCCGGGAGTAGCTTGGGAGAACAAGGAAACAGACTGCTTCAGGTTGCCTTCCCAAACCAACTCAAAGTTTATTCATCAGACAACAGTTTATATAGAGGAAAAAGGTTCGTGTGTCAGCAGATTCTCAGTTCAGACCGGTACAGACCAAATAAGGAAGCGCCTTCCTGCCCTCTGAGCAGAGAAGTATCCTTTGTATAGTTTATCAGTTCAGCTACAATTTATGATTATCCCAGCGAAATACACTCCTAGACATAGAATACAGAGTTCTTTCATTAGTGAATTCTGAAACAAACCACCTGGCCTTTAACAAACCTTTCTCTAAGAGATAAAGAAGGGAGGATGGGAGTAAGGGAGTGATCTCTGTGGTGTTTTCAACCTTGAGGCACCAGCCTGTGATTCTTACACATCAATTCTTGGGTCACAGAGAAAGAGAAAAACAACTAGTAAATGGGCCTTATTGAGCAACAGTTTTCCTGTATAATATCACTATAAAACAATATCCTGTAAATGCTCCCATGGTGCTAAAATACATAACAATGCAGTTTGCAGCAGTGTGCTTAAAGCATGGGGAAACCAAACTGAAACATGCCTCTGCTTCTCTGTTCTTCTGTCCTCGTGGGGCCTGTAACAGACTTTTAGATCTTATGGGGCATTCAGTGTTTTCTCTATAGTTGATTTTACCCTGCAGAGTCACATGGAGGTAAAGCCCACAGTGACGGACCACATAGTGTATACGAGTGAGTGTGGGAGAGACAGAGAGTAGGTGGCAGTATTCCTCCTCCTTTCTCTCTGTCGGGCTTCACCTGCAGTGAAGCTCTGCTAAAAATCAGTGGTTGTGTAATTGTTGTAATTGCAGGTGATCTGTAGGGATTAACAAATATTAAAAGGACATTCATTCAGTTTTTAATGTTTTTAGAAGGTTTCAAAATTCTGGGAATATTTTCCCTGAAAGTTGATTGTGGATGTTTTCAGTGGGAGAAACGTTTCATCACTCGTCTAAGTGACGTCTTCAGCCTCAGCCGACCTTATAAACACTCAGGGCTGCATTTATTAACAGAGAAACACTGTTCCAGAAATATATACAGATCTCCAGCACTGTGGCTCCCGTGGCGATTCCCCTGAATCCCACAGTGTGAGTGTAGTGACTGTGGCTCCAACTTTCCCCGTGCTCCCAAACCGTGACTCCGATCCCTGGCGACACAAAGAAACACACATGTGGGCAAAGGTATCCACACTGGTGAGGTTTAGCAACACGGCCGTGCTAACCAGGGTTAACTCAACGATCCGGTGTTGACCAGAGCTGAGCCGCACTGCTAAATATGACGGTCATGAAGAAGGTCATCAGCACAGTTGACGTCTCCCGTATGTCCTGATGTATCAGAAGTTGGTAGTGATCCCGTACGTGTCAGGACTATCGGAGCAGCTGAGATGCATTTTCTCTAAACACCGGGTCTCTGTGGCTTTTAAACCCCAAAACACGCTGCACCAAAAACTGGTCCACACCAAGGATCGGGTCCCTCGACACAAACAGAGTAACATAGTGTACGCTGTTGAGTGCAGGAGGATTGTCAGGATTTATACATCGGGGAAACCAAACAACCTCTGGCTAAGAGGATGGCACAACACAGAAGAGCCACCTCGTCAGGCCAGGACTCTGCAGTCTATTTACACCTACAGGCCAGTGGACACTCTTTCAATGATGAGGATGTATCATCCTGGACAGGGAGGAACGCTGGTTTGAGGGCGGAGTCAAGGAGGGAAAGACCATCTCTGAATGGAGGAGGGGCCTAAGGGTACATCTGTCACCATCTTACATGCTGTGATTGCAGCCATTCCCCACCTCTCTGTGAATGGGACTCATTGATCAGTGTTCATGACATTGTGTCTGTGAAGGTTCTCAGTCATCCAGCTCACCTGAAACTCTGGCTGATTGGGACCCACACCCAGTTTCACACCTTGGCTCAGGCGATCAGAGGATCATCAGGGGTCCTTTTGTCCCTCTCTGGGGGGAAACTCCCACTGGGTTTATATCTGGGACTCTCCACCATTTGACCTTAGAACTGAAGAAGCTTCTCGGATGAGAGGTGAAACGTCTTCAAGCAACTTAAAGAAGTCCAGACGCTTTTCTTTGCAAGCTCCTTTGGCTGTTCGTGACATTGTTCCTTCAGTGGGCTGGCTTCAGTCATTATGCAAATGTCCTGCTTATAAGGTTGGAAACCTGCAGTCAGCTGAGACCGAAGATGTCACCTGATGATGATGATGAAACGTTTCTCCCACTGAAACGTCCAGATGAACAGAATCAACCTTCTGGGATCTGCCTCCCTTAGTTTTCAGCTTCATATAATACACACTGATCACATGACTTGGTGTGCTTGGTATGGCAGAACAACACACACGTGTATGTACACACACACACACACACACACACACACACACACACACACACACACACACACACACACACGTGTGGAAAATGTTCCTGCAGCACAGATTCCTGAAACTCTACCTGAGGTCCCTGCAGCAGCAGCCTGGCATCATAAAATAAGGAGCAGGAGGAAGATGTGTTCCCATGGCAACTGGCTCGTCTTTTCATTCTGCAGAGCTGCTGAGAAACAGAGAAAAGGAGGAAGTGCTGATGGGGAGAAAAAAGTTATGAGGAGGCAAACAAAGTCGGGGAAGAAATATCAAAATGTTTAATTTGGGGGAAGGAAACTGAGAGATGACACAAATCAAGACACAACAATTTAAACACTTGTGCCTCAAGTATTCCCATACAGAAAATCACACCAAAGCAGAATTCAGAATTAATATTTAATTTATTCGTTGTACTGTACTGACTGCACATAATGAGGCACGATGGTGGTGTGGGAGGCACCATAGAGTGACAGATCAGTCACCTGTTTATGAGCCATTAAAGAGTCCATGTTAGTAATCGTGTTATATCAAGCAGACTGAAGTACAGAAATGACCTATGACCTTCTGATACATGTTACATTTCTGCAGCACATGTTTTGTTCTTTGCAACATTGTAGCTCCTGTAACGTCCTGCAACAATGAGGTGTTGGTCATGCACCATAGACAGGCATGGATTAAGGAGAACCTGAAGATCTCATTGCATTGTGGTGAAGATCTGCATAATGTGATTTAAATTGGGTGATAGGAAACTGGCCTTAGTGGAATATGTGCTCAGTTACAGCTGCTCTAGTGCATCATGGAAACAAATATGGCAATAACGCTTCCACAATTTCTCATTCTGCCTCAGCTTAGAGTTTCTGCATAGCTGCTGCTTGTCGACATGCAGTCACGTGTTACGGTAAAGTTAGCCACAGTAGCTGCTTCAGGCTAACACGCAGAATGTTCCTGTTGTTGTTGCCCATTAAAAAACCAAATGAACATTTGGCACGCTGTGCTGAGTTTAGGCTGATCTGTCGAGTTAATCGAAATGAATGTGTTATTTGGATGAGTTGGAAAATCCCGCGTTTTGTTTCAGATGGGTCAGTCTCGCTGGTGGGAGCAGGAGATTCCCATGGAGGGAACCATCCAGAAGGGGGAGCTCTTGACCTACAACTTAACTGAACTCATCAAACCTGAATCCTACCTGGTCCGCCTGACACCCATCACCCGCTACGGGGAAGGAGACTCCACTGAGCGCATCATCACATACAGCGGTAGGCTGCCTCGTTTTCTATCGTTCAATCCCCGAACAAGAGCAGGTACACAAACACTGCCTCGCAAATCTTTCTGGAGGAATTTACACGCACAGCTGTTTGCAACGCTGCTTCAGATCACTGAGGTTCACGTTCATGCACAGCTCTCTTAAGGCTCGCGACAGTGTTTCAGGCTGGGTTGAGGTCTGTAACAAACCTCTTTTTTCCAGGTATTCTTTAGTAGATTTGCTGCATGATCATCGTCCTGCTGTATGATCTAAATTCAGCAAAACGTTACATGTGCTTTATATTGAAGGTAAAACCCTAAAATACAAAGCAAACAGAGAAAAAACCCAACAATCAACTCGATGCATGCTGGGTGCCAGTGGCACCACCATGCCTGATGTTGTGGGGACATGCTGTGTTTGGTTTTTGCCAGATACGGTGATGTACATTATGGCCACAGGACATGACAGAAGTCTTACGGTGTGTTCAGATGCAGCTTGGCAAACCAAAGCAGTGCTGCCATCTTCTTCTTAGAGAAACAAAGAAGCCTTCCAAGCAAACTGTACTTGCTAAGGGGTTTTGAATTTTACTGTCATGAACTTCAACATTTAACATGCTAACTGAGGCCTGTAGAGTCTGAGATGTAGCTCTTCATGCGCTGCAGCCATGGAGGCAGTTAAGTCATACAGGACTTTTCCTTCTCATCCCATCCGTGCTTCAGATCTCCATGAAGCTGGCCGTGGTGTTTCAGCGTCTAACGAAGACGCTGGTGGGCTTTCCATCACCCGATGAGTTTTTTTTCACTCATCTCTTTTCACTTCCTGTTTGTCTGTACACCGACATGTATTTAATCAGTGATATTGTTCGACTCTGGCCTTCTCTCTGGTTCTGTTTTAAGCCACTGATGAAACAGCCTGTAAAGTGATGTCAGGAAGCATGAGCTGATATGAGAAGGCCGGTCTCACAGAGGAGGGCTTCACAGGGCCGCTTAAATGCCTCAAATGTTGAATAATAATTTATATCTGTGTCGAATGACTTAAGATAACAAGACTTTTAGCTGGAAAGTTAACACTTCAGCTAAAAATGCAAACAGTTGAAGTGTGACAGGAATCCTGGTGGAAAGTGCAGACAGGAGTCAAAGTCAACACAGAAACACGAGTGGAGTAAAATCAGGCTGACAGAGAAACAACCTGCTCACAGCAGGAGACGCTGATGCACACGTAAACATGACCTAGGCTGCTGCCTGATGAGGACTTTTGACTGTCAGCGAACATCCTGCCACCTCCAGATCACGATTTTACCTCTGTGCCACAAACACAACCATGATGGTAACTGCACTTTGTAATAATAATAATGATGGATTGTATTTATACAATGCCACTATTCATTCACTCTCACACACTGGTGAAGGCAAACTATAGTTGTAGCCACAGCTGCCCTGGGGCAGACTGACAGAAGCCAGGCTGAGATATCGCGCCATCGGCTCCTCTGGCCAACACCAGTAGGCGGGAGGTGAAGTGTCTTGCCCAAAGACACAACGACCGAGACTGTCCGAGCCGGGGCTCGAACCGGCAACCTTCCGATTACAAGACGAGCACCCGACTCTTGAGCCACGATCGCCCCATGTTTGTGCAACATGCCCTTTTTCCTCCACCTAAATGCTTTGTATCTAACATGCACACATGAACACATCAGAGAGCAACTTGCTTATCTTGCCCAAGGACACTTATGCATGTAGACTGGACAATAGACCCTGTGCACGAGACAATGCTAACTTCCTGGTTTGAGACCGGATGTGGGGTTGTGCATTTCCGGTAGCTTTACTTTGCGGTCAATCGCTACTGCGAAGATATATCCTCCAAAATCATGTCCAAAACTGGAAAACGTAAAGATGGCGTTAAGTTACAAAGAGCAGAAGGTGGGAACACTCACCGCTGTCGTGTCATAAAAAATCTAATGATCAATTTTGACGTTTAAAGAGTTTAGATCGATCAGCTGTTTACATCACTCAACACAAGCAGAGCTGCATCACTGCAGCAGAAGACACATCGTCCACATTCAGAAGCACATCTCTGTGTAGTGACTGGTCTCATGATTCAAACAGGCCAATGTTCAGCATTCAAACTACAGGTGAAGAACAGTCAAACCAGATGTTTCCCCATTATGTCGATATCAGCTAGTCAGGTACACACCTACACAGCATGTTAACAAACCGTGAAAAAAGCCACACAAAATGAATGATTGCTGGTAACGGTTTCTATACGTTAGTATTTACGAAGGGTATGTTGTGACTTACCTTCAAGATTACAGCGGTCCCTCGCTATAACGCGGTTCACCTTTCACCTCGCTGTTTCACGGATTTTTTAGTGCAAGTTTGCATGCTTATTTTTACGTCACATTGTGTCCTGCGTCCTGATCGCTGCATCGATGCTAGCAGTGTGACTCTGCAGTGCAGCGCTGTATGTCCACGATGTCCACCAAACGTTTGGCACCGTCAAAAATAACATTGGCTTTCTTCCTGCAGTAAATATAAACAACGACAGTATTCAGGAAGAAAAACAAACATTGCAGATATTTTATCGTAACTCTGGTTTTACGTGTCTCATCAACACAATTTAAAAACTGCTATAAAGTCCACACTTTGTCCGTCAGTTGTTCCGTCTGTCCTGCTCACATCTCCAATGGTTGTACACGTTGTCATTAACGTGGCTTCACTCCACATCAGCCGCTTTGCTAAAACACCGGTGTCGCACATGAGGACGCTGTCAGAGCCTGTCAGCCACGTTGATCAGCTGCTTATATACGAATGTGAATCGCGTGATTGGCTGGACTGTGGGATAAGGCGGCATCGTTCTGATCCCACACGGGAGCAGCCAGTCACTGACTAACACTGCAAAAGGTTAGGTTAGATGTTCTTTTGTGCACGACGCAGATTTTCTGTGCCAGCAGTGCACAATTGCGCACGCGCACAGCTTAGAGGGAACACTGGCCAGGAATCAAACTACCAACCTTCCTTCTCTACCTCCTGAGCTACAGACACCGCAGAGAGCAGCTCAGGTTTCAGTATCTTGCCCAAGGATACTTATGCCTGCAGACTGACGTTCAGCTGGGTCACATGATGCTCTGCATGTCACCATGTGACATCTGTCAAAGCTG